GCATGTGAGGGCATCGGTAAAATTATCTGGTAATCTATTTGTAACAGAGATAAGACAAAAATATAGATTTAAATGATAATAGAATAGAATAATATAGAATAGTATTTTCGTCGTTGTACTCGAGGGTACAACGGAATCGAGGGTGCTCCCACAGAGCCATCGTGCACCACAGAAAATTGTTTAAAATGACAAAGCTAGAACCCAAGGGACAGAAAACAAGAAAAGAACAACCCAAGGGAGAAACAGTGTGTCACACTGAAAAGGTACACTCGTAAAATAGACATAAAAAGTGAAAGTATGAAATGCACTGGGAAGGTGTAATATTATATATTGTATATATTATTATTAATAATAATAATAATAATTATTATTATTTGAGTCCAGGACAGAGACTCTTGGACAGGGTCTTTCTGTGCCTCTTACCTCACGTCGCCCGGCATCGACTTCAGTCTCCTCCCTGACCCTGGCAGGATGCAGGATATATTATGGATTGATTTAATGGCTTTAACGGGAGCCCGTGTGGCAGGAAGAATGAGCCTGACATTATACAGTAGTCTCACTGACCACTGATTATTCTTCTGTCACCTCATTCTGTTGAACTAATAATATTCAAGGCTTTGGGGCTTGGCCTGAAATATGCTTCCCAGACTTTCCTGATAAGTGCAAATTTAGATTCCACAAAACACATATTAAGCAATATAATATGCTATTCAGTGTAATATTTAACTTTGAGGAGCCAAGTGTGTATAGTGAGGTTGGCTGCACCACTGCTTTATTGCCTCCTCTCAAAATATTATTACTACATTCCTGTCATGGAATCAATTCTCATGAATAAGTGAGTAGGTCGCAGTTTTAAAATGATCATTTTAATTTTACAGTATCGAGGAGCTGAAAATCTACCTCCTCTTTGCACAAAACCAATATGGGATGTGGTTTCAAGTCAAGTATTTTTTGCATCTTTTCTCAGAATGCCAAATCAGGGGGTTGAGCCAAGCATGGACTTGAAATAGCAGTCTGCACCGAGCTTGGTAAAGCCTGGTGAATTCTTCATGAAGAACAACAACCCGCCTCTGCATTATAGGAACCAAACTGCAGTATTGAGTCCCTATTCAGACATTATTTCACCATCCCAGGACGGTCTGGAGACTACAGCACTTAGTTTGGAACACGTGTAAAAACACATCGCCCTTCCTTAAATAATAGCTTGAGGAGAAAAGGCACAAAAGAAAAAAGGCAGAGAGAGAAAGTGAAGACGGATTTAAAAAAAAAAAAAAAAAACTGTCTGCGTATGCACTAAAAGACCAGAGGCCTTTCCACACCACTGATCAGAGAGCAAATCTTAAATACAGCACAGACGAGAACAGATTCTCTATGTCATCTGGCATCGGCTTCCTGATATGTTTGTTCCACACAAAAGCTCAAATATTCCCATCTGGACAGGAGAAGGCGGCATTAAAACACACACCAGCAGCGGAACAGATTCAGAGATGTTCTCCTGCACTAATGAAATCCACAGGAATAAAAACTACATGTACTATAAAAATATTTGCAAATGTCATGATATCATAAAACACACGGTCTTCCAACGGACAGCTGGCCATTAATGGTGAACATACTGTAAACGCAAGCAAGACATAGTGAAAACACAGACACACATTCAGATGCTAAAAGAAGCCTCGGTGTCTGGATGTCATCATGTGTACGCTGCAGCTGCCTGCACTGCCTGCCACATTAAACAGACCTAATGGGCTCTCAGCATTTGCGTTGTGCATTTTCAAATGTTCTATAGAATCAGTGGGACATTCTGTTTGTCGTAGCAGTCTGTCAGGGAACCTGCTGGGACACAAAGACAGAGTGTGTGTGTGTGTGTGTATAGTTGTGACTGTAACTTTATTAGTCTGTGTTTGTGAGACGTCTGCATTAATAAATGAATATGTTGTGTTTGCTTTAAACCAGACGGTGGATTTCAAACCAAGCTAGCTCTCTGGACTCAGCAGAGAGGGACATGATGCAAACGCAATTCTAAAATATAAGTATTGTCCTCTGTGGTATGTTGTAAAGTTAATCTTAAATTGTGAAGTGAGGTGCATTACATTTTGTTTCTTTTGCTCTATAAAATATGCCAAGATCAGATTTTGATATTTCTTCAGTCTCAACCTTAAACTTCTGGATTTTGGTGCAGACTGATGAAAGAATCAAGGAGTAAAAAAAACATCAAAAATTCGACTCACTGACTCTCATCTCAAATCCAAATGTGATATTGTTCTATATATATTTCCAGCAATTACCAATATAGACTCCAATGCACGTTAGGCTTTGGTGGGCCACATAAAATTACCTGGAGGTTCAGATTCAGCCCGCAGGTCCTAAGTTTTACATATGGGCTCCACTAAACAAATTTGAAGGGACTGCGATAAACACTTTAGAAAACAGAAAAAAGATTAACGCAATATACTCAAATACTGAGTTCCTTGTGGATTTCAAAGATGGCTCCAGGAAACTGCTTTCTTGAATTGAATTAAAAACTTTACAGCAGCTGTAGCCAAGAGTTTCTCAAAGCCCATGGCGGCATCGGAACATTTTCATTGTCTTTGGCTAACATCCTGTGCATGTTCGAGCCCCAGATCTTTCTGGAACAACAACAACAAAAGGTCACATTGGACAGTGAGAGCGACTGCAATATTTATTGCGTGAGACAGACGAGTGAGTTTTGTCAGACAGAGCAGTGCTTCGCTCGTGCTGGTTAGGGACATTTGCTTCCGAGAGCTGCTTCAAGATGAGAGTAAATGTCTGAGCTTTAAGGCCAAATATTAGTGCTGTATGTGCAACCAGAAGTGGAGTGAGGTTAAAGCACCGCAGATTAGTCGGGGCACCGAGGAAGCGCCGCAGTACACATTAGACGGTGAAGCCATGTGTGATGATCCTGCAGGTTTCAAAATGAGCTCTGATTAGCCCGAAAGTGATTTGTGGCGGCACTCGTCACATCAAAATGCTGCTCTGCTCCTACAAACATACTTTCTTCTTCAATTTCCCTTCTGCTCCTTCCCACACTTCTTATCACATGGCATAAGAGAAATCAGTACGACAAAGAATATTGCTGTGGCAAAATATATGCAACAAAATAGTCTGGGTGTCTGTGGAAGTGCTTTCATTTAAAAAAAGAAAAGATCAGAATAATATCCTTAAGCTGGAAATTGTGGCTGTGTGAAAGTACATATAACAGTCGGTGGGTTTGTAATGCATTACTGATATTTCAGAAGGGTCAGGTCAGAAGAATGGGCTTATTTTCATACTGTTACACACACACACACACACACACACACGCACACACACACACACACACACACACAAACCACAGAGCAAAACAAAGCCAGAGGCCAAAGGTGTCTGATGGAACAGAACTGAACGTTCGTTACACAAAACCAATGTTCCAAAAGCAGCCAAACTGCGATTGGGAAAAAACAACAACACCTATTGAAATTTGAAAAAGCATCTGGTCAGTCAGAGTGTGTACACCGGGGGACCGGGGGGAAAAAATCAATTGCCAAAAAAGCACATTAGAAACACATTTTAATTACGCTCTTCTTCAGGTTCTGGGACTCCTCCTGCTTTATCCCTTGCCCCACCCTGTGGCCAAATTAACTCTTCCTAATGCTCTTCCTCCTCTTCATCCAAGCTGCCCGTCACCCAGCGGCTGGTTGGCACTGAGCTGTCTGAGAGCATACGACAGATGGTGTAATGCTCTCCGTGTGGCAGGCCACTAGCAGGACACACGACCGCCTCGCTTTCTCTGCCCTGCCCTCGCTTCTCCATCTAAGACACGCATATGTGACCTACTGTCTTTTTCTTATACTTACCTATGAACTTATACCCTACACACTCATAGAAATGGTCAAAAATGTAAATCAGGTACAACAGGCGTGGTTGATAAGACTATGAAGAGCCACATACAAGTGCATTAAATATAAATATAATTTAGTATGAGCCAGCCTAGAACATTTTATCTTCTTCAAATATTTTATGGCATATTCATTATTTATATATATATATATATATTTATAATGAAGCAATTTCCAGTTAACTACAAACATGACGATGACAAATATCCAAAAGCTAAGTTTAAACTGCTAAAGATTACCTAAGGTTTGCATGGCAATAGTTATAAGTTCACCTAAGAATGGGTAAAAGAGTAAAATATGGTAATGATAATATTCACCCAGGATGACATTATAGTTATTATCAAAACTTACAGAGAAAATTACAGAGAAAATAGCCTAGGAAACTTAGTTTTCAACAGTAAAAGAACATAATAATTCCCATGAACATTGACATGGCTGAACATGAGGATTTCTTTGTGATTTTTACAGAACAATTGCAACTTCTCTAAGTCCTTCCTCAGTGAGCAGATGACTTTAACCAGACGGGATCACCTGCGGCTGGGACGACAACAGCCAGCAAACACACAAAACACACAAAACACAAGATGAAATGTCATGTGCTACATGTCAAATCCAAGGAGGTCACACATATGGTGCCATTACATGCACGGATTCCCTTCCTATGGTCTTGCCACGCTTCGACTCACATCGAGATGACAAGAAATTTTATTGACATTCGCACATATTTTCTTCCACTTCACTCACAGCTGCCCTTTCTCCCGTGGAGACAGTTTAGTTAATCAAGTGCAGCCTTTCTAGCCTGGTCAGCAAGTCAATATGCTTAAAACCTACATCACGTAGCGATCATATAAATATTACATCCACATGAGCAATAACTTGGTGGGGACACATACAGGGCAGGGTGGATACAGCGGCGGCTGCCGGGCTATATTACAAGCTGGTCCAATGAAGCAAACAATACATATTGTATCCAGTGCATATAGGAATAAATAGGAAAGTGTACAAATAAATACTGAGGTGAGACAGAAATGGGTTGACTATCCTGCAGATCCTGTGATATTAAAAACCAAATACTGCACTGTTTCAATATTTATCACCTACCTTGCGAGGAAGGAGCAATGTTGCTGAAAGCCACAGTGCAGGTTAGGATGATCCAGACAGCGAGAGCCATGTTGGAGGCTGACCAGGGGTGCGGGGGGGCAGGGTAAAGGGCAGGGCTAAAAGTGTGGAGACTCGAAGCAGGCGCACAGGTGTCGGGTGTGACACTTCCTCAGTTTACACCCTTCCTGAGGGTGATCCTGCAGCACAGGGGGACAAAACGGAGGGAAAAAATGAAGACATATTATTAATCTTCCCAATAAAATAATTGCATTTGACTGTCTAAAGAGGAATTATGCCGCGCTATTTGTTATTCTTTCCGCTCCGAGTATGGCATTTGAATTAGGCAATGTTGATTAATTTATTCTGCATTTATTACAGGAATGTGATAATAACTCTGGGTAGATCGTGACTGGTTTAGTATCCTCAGGAGAGGAGGAGACAGGAGGAGAGGAGAGGAAAGGAGAGGAGGAGCAGCTCCCCCTGTGGTGGTCTGCTAGAATAATCGGAGAGGAAGATCTGAGGCCATTTTGTGCAGGATGGCATGACAACAGCTGTTCCTGCCACCAGCTCATCACTGCACACTGTTTGAATGCTTGATTGAATCAGACGGGCTACATATGTTTGGTGGCTGTTGACAGAGCAATATTAAGGCATGTGAAAAATACACGTCTCCGGAGCGTGCTGGTGTTTGTACGTGTTGGTGCACTTGCTCGCACACAAAGCAATTAAAAGAGTAAGCCAGTCAGCAGAGCTGCAGGGCAAACACTTCTCATTTGCCTAATGAAATAAATTACTAAGTGGAGTTTTTGCTATGATTTTTTGACAGTGAAGCCTGCTGTGACCCTCCAGGGACAGACAGACAGAAAACACTATCTGTTATCACTGCTGCTGCTGCTGCTGCTGCTGCTGGAGATGGACTTGTGTGTCTGCGAGTGTTTGCTTTGTGCAAATGGATTTCGCAATAAAAACTAAAATCTCTAATTCTGTAGAGCACTTTAACTTTAATTTATGAGACAACGAGACGGAGAAAACACATTGAAGCAGTGAATAATCCATGTTTATTTATAGAAATATATACCTATTTAGTTCAAATGTTTCATACACAATTCCTAAATATGTTCCGCAGTCAATGATGAAAGGCAGAAATCCTTTGCTATCTCCTGAAAGGACGTGTTTAATGAAAACAATTTTCATTAACAATCTGTTTCAGCTCGCTTTGCTGACGTCCAAACTTTAATAAGTCGTGACAGCCCTGCAATACATTTGCTTTGGTTTCCAATTATTTATTTATTTGTCAGTGACAACACAGTATAAAAATATTTCTTTATTTATTTTCAATTTATCTGGCAAAGAATGGTTACAAAAATTAAAGAAAGTTTTCAGGTTGATTTCTTTCTTTCAGTGCTGTTTTTTAGAAAGCGTTCTTTAATAAGGGTTTTAAAATTTGGATAGATTCACAAAGCTCTTTTTTGTTGGGAAAAAAACAAATTATTCACTGAAATCCATCTTTCCTTTAATTTGATTTCCTTAAAATGACTTTTGCAGGAGTTGCAAAAGGACAATAAAAAGTACAGTTATCCTTCACAGACTCTCTCACTCTGTCTCTCCCTCTCTCTCCCACACACACACACACACACACACACAGTGTCATCTACAGTTTTATAAAATGATATAAAGTAAGTGAAGGAGCCAACAAATCTCAGCAGAAGCAGATTTGTTCCGCTGACTTACAGAGAACAAAATGTAGACAATTGAAAACGGTTGCAATTTCATGCAGTAAATTAGCTTTGCGACGTAAAATTTGACATAATTCAATGTACAAAGTTCATTTTCCACACGAGGCTGTGCATCTGAACTGGCTTCATCGTTCGGTTCAATTGGGATTATGCAGTGATTTTTAAATGTGACTCAATTTATAGACACCCCTGTGCGTTCCATTCTCCATTTTATATTTTTATTACGCACAGATCTGTAACACAGGGGTGGAAGATGATCAGTGGGACGAGTGTGTTGTCTCTAAACTACAGGTGGAGGGTTTGATTCACTGCCCTGCACTGACAGATCTGGGTGTATGACTCAGCTGTGAATGGGTGAATGGAAAGGTTATTGTGAAAGACTTCAGAGTGGCCTTAAGTCTTGAAAACTGCAGTAAAAGCAAGTGTAGTACTTCAAAGAGAGTAGAGTGTTTTTACATGAAAGAGATTATTTCATCAGCACAGGGTAATGAAAGACAGACAACAAGAAATGCTGACAGACAGGACACAGACAGGGTGGTCACCACCCCTCAGTGTCCCACTGTGAAAAATGATTACGTGTTTAAAAAAAAAATTCCAAATGTCCTTTCAATGACTATCCAGTTTCACTTGTATGCAAACATTTGGAAAAATAATAATTAAAAGAACAGCAGAATATCTGAATATCCATGTGAAACAAAGACCGCTAAAAGCTTAACTTTAGGACTGAAGTCAACCACTCATACACTGGCAAGTTGTTGTTTTTATTCAGGGCAATAACAAAACTTTTTGTCCTTCATGTCCTCTGCCCTTTTTCATCAGATAATTCCTTATTTGTAAAATTCTGGCAAATGTCTGCATCAGGTCCAATGATCCTTTAGATTTAAGAAAAGAAAAAATCAGACGAAGCTAAAACTAAATGTAAAAAAACCCCAGTCAAATTAAATATTGATCACACTTCACAAAGACATTAATAATTAATTAACAATAAATTAAAAAAATTATAAAGGACTGCAAAAATGTAGGTTAGGTCTGAGAAATGTGTCTTAGGAAAATATTCCACAACACGGCACATGTATAGCCTTAGGAAAAACCCAACGGCACACCACCAAACAAAAATCTCACAAAAAGTATATATACCACCTAACAAAGAGTATTTCATTGTATTAATACTAGTTTTCTGACCAATTACTTGAAATTTGATCATTTTCCACGGCACACTAGTGTGCCACGGCACAGTGGTTGGGAATCACTGCATTAGTGTATACACATTGACTAAGCTCTTTTATATTGGCAGCCAAAATGGCAGGAACTAAGGAACTGTGCAGCTGAACCCCTGTCTCATCATCAACCCTGATTTGGCTTCACTTCCAGCTCTCAGCCCCTCCTTCTTCCTGACCTTCTCTGATATTTATCCTCCTCTCCTGTGGCAGTGCCAGGCCTGCAGCCACCAACCTGCCTGCACATCTCTGTGTGCATCAGTATGTTGAATGACGTACCATGCAAGCAGGAGTAAAGGGGAACCAGAGGACAAACATAGATTTGGAGGGGAAAAAAAAAAAAAAAAAAAAGAACGTGTCCAAAGCAGTTCTACTTCAGCTGCTCGTCACGCCTGTGTTTATATCTCGGCACACACAACCTTTGCACCAGTGCAGCCTGCGCCTGACTGTGAGTTTGTTCGCTGCCAGCCCACCTCCCTCTATGACCAGCAGCCGAGAGAAAAGGACACGGCTGAGGGTGGCCGTGGGAGACAAAGAGTGGAAAAGCACAAACAAATACCAAAAGCTGTGTGAAGTAGCACAGCAGAAAACCTTGGCAGCTCCGCTCCCTCACACGGCCTTCACCCAATCTCACTGTATTATTAATGATCAAAACGTGATCTCCTCCTGTGCAGTGACAGGCCTCTGCCCTCACCTCCCCCCCCCCCCCCCCCCATCAAACTTTTGTGGATTTAATAAGAAAAATGTGCCTTTTCCTCCTGTTCTTTTCCACTCTGTCTCTGTCTGTACAGTTCAACAATAGCTCTCTGCTAAAAAAAAACAAAAACAAAAAAAAAATAAGGTGCCGGTCGGGGGATTGAAGGAGAGGAAAGTGCAGGGCGGAAAAATTGATTTTATTTTGTGACAAAAAGAAAGGTAGCATTACACGACACTCAATTTCAGTGTAGTGCGAACGGTCGGAATGAAGGAAGGAGAGATGGATGGAAGAAACAGAGAGAACGGGAAATGAACAAAACAAAAAGAGAGGCAGAACACTGCGCATTCTAAGTAAAATAATAAACACAGAACAGAAGGAGCAAAAGAGAAAATAATTCAAGTAGGAAAATCATGGCTTTCTGCATAAAAACCTGAGTGGGAAGACAAACAGCTGGAAATAGTCGAGAGGGAAAAAAAGTAGCAAAGAAATAGTTTGAAAGCAGAAAAACAAAGACGTGAGTCAGACTGTCTCTGCCTGGAGAGAGGCTGAGAGTCTTGGAGGGCATGAGATGGGTGTCTTCAACCAGCGAGTTCTCGCTCCTGGGAGGACGTTACATGCCTGAGGCCAAAGATTTGACCTTTTGACCTGATCTAATCCACCACCATTATCATCGCTGTTTCTCTGTGAAAAGAGCTTAGCACCCGATGCCTCTGAGACCAGAAGCAACAAAATGACGGCCAGACAACAATTTACCCCAGAGGTGGTAAAGTGACACAGGTGAGTGTGAAAGGAAGTGTGAGGTGGCTTCATCCATGGTCAGCTGTATCAGCACAAAGAGAGAGAGATGGCGTTGTTTCATCATAGACTGTCCATAACGAAAGGACAACAATGACAAAATAAAACATTTAATTGTTGATTACCTGACCTGTCTTTTTCAGGGACTAGAGGCTAAAGCTAGGCTAGGATTTTAGGCAGGGTCTTTTGTGATGCTTTGACAAAAACTTGTGACTACGTTTTGACAAGCTTTGAGTTATTTCTATGTTTCAGTCACTCTTTAGCTAGGTTTTTTTTGCTTTTCTGAAGTCATGTCTCAGTTCTTTTTTTACACTTACTATTCTAATATAATCTATAATTTATTATTACGTATTAATATATTGACATTGCATTTGTATTTTAACTTCAGGCTAACTGCAACTTCATCACCAGCTACATAAGTTCCAACAGCACAAAGTTCTTCAGCATATTTTTTATTTTATATACTATTTTTGTTTTATTTTACATACCATTTGTTTTGTTTTATCCTTTCTCTAATTTCAATTGATCTTTTAAAATTATCGGAAAATAATCGGAAAATGAATCAAATCCAAATTCAGTCCAATCTATTCTGATTTATTCTAATCTAATCTAATCTCAAATTAGACTCTTTTATTTCAATTAGGAACAGTGAGATTATACAGATCTGTACAAAACTTGAGAACTTGACTACATGATTACATTATTAATCAAATGAAAGCATTTTGTTTCACTGATAAAATGTGTGATATTAA